TCTCTCATCAATGTTTCTAGCTCTCTATCCCTCTCCCTTCCTCTCTGTAAAAAATCAATAAAATATATTTTTTTTTTAATTGAGCCTCTTTACACCCATGTAGTTGCATTCTTCCACCACTAACCCTACACAGGCCATTAAAATATTAAGGGGCTGCCTCAAGTGGCAGCCAAGCATCCATTCTAAATTTTTTCTCCTCACTGGTGTGACATTGAGAGCATAGACTGTGTGCTCATGCCATTCCAAAGAGTTAGCTGTCATAATACACCACCCCATTCTTCTTCCATTCAGAAAAGAACATCATGAAGCAGAAAGCATAGGGATAACTCTGCATCCATGCACTCTGGTTCATACAAACAAGCCAATGACTCCAAATGTCAGTACTGTAACTCTTAGTAGTCGCAAATGCATTTCTACTCATGCAGCGCTGTATGGCTGAGAAGTAGGGCCTAGGAGGGGTCTGGGTTATAATATAACCTAAGTAGTATCATTCCTTGGCACAGGAGAAATTCGGTCACAGCCACCTACCCCTGGCTCCAAGGTTTCAAACAGTCCAATATTTCTTGTAACACAGGAAGGACATGCAACTTAGATCTTGAGTTGGGTTCAGTGCCCTTAGTAAGAACCACTACAACTTCAAAATCTATTGCAAAGGAACATGTAACCCCAACAACACTGTGCATAAGGATAAAAGGTCTATGCTAATGAGCATTAAATTCAAAGGACTATAAATACCATAAGCATGAGCATTCTAGCTTTCTCACCTTCACTCAGCAATGGACCCGCCTCTCATTTCTATTCACATAGTTCAATTCATATTGTCTTAGGTCATCTGAATTTAAGTTACTAAAATTCCAATTATCCAAATACTCTCTGGTAAAACTATTTGATTGTTATAGATTAAAAAAACATAATCAAGTGTCCCCTATCTCTTTTACATTCTTTTCTCCCTTGCAGAAAATGTTTCCATGTCTTTTCCTTTAAAGGGAAATTATAGTAAGTGATAGTAAATGTCGAAGTTCTAAACAGCACAAAAACCATTTCTAGAAAAAAACAAATAAAGTCCTAATTAATAATGAAAGTACTAAGTAAACTAAATCACATTCTTAATCGCTCTATCAAAGCTACAGTTGTTCAACTTACACTAGGGTTACATCTGATAAACCCATTGTAAGTTGAAAATATTACAATCTGAACATGCATTACCTAACCTACTGAACATCATAGCTTAGCACGCCTTACCTTAAACATGCTCACTTACAATGGCCTACAGAGCAAAAGCATCTAACACAGGAACACAGGGTACAGTAGTGACCACATGGCTGACTGTGAGCTGCAGCTCACTGTCACTGCCCAGCATCACAACAGAGCATAATACCACATACTGGTAGCCCCAAAAAAGATCAAAATGCTAAGTACACCTTTTGCTGAATGCATATTGCTTTTGCACCATCATACAGTCAAAAGGCGTAAGTTGAAACATCGTAAGTCAGGGACAATCTATAGTCATTTTTTTACATCTAATCTATATGAAGTATGATCTTCCTATTACAGTAAGATTCTATTTACAGGTCAGTGATTCTACAAGAAAATAGTGAACATAAAGTGAAGATTTAGATGTTGGCACGAAATAAACCAAAGCTTGAAATTGCAGCTCTATCAATTATCAGCGTATGAACTTGGGCAAACTGCTTATTCTCTCTCCATTAATTTTGCATCTGTAAAATGAGACAAAGTCTAGCACCTTCCTCAGATGACTAATGCAAATACTAAATAAGAAGGAGAAGCACAATGCCTAACATATAATGGTCCCCAACAGATGTCTGCTGGAGGCAGGAGCAGTAAGAATAGAAACAGCAGCAGCAGAAGTCTGCATTGTTCCCCAAACTTTATTTCATCTAGCTCCACATTTTGACAAACATAGAAAATCCCACTGGTAGAAATTTCTAGTGCTCCTTCATATCTAGTTTCCTCATATCTAACTCTCCTTCCTGGAAAGAGGAGAGGACAACACCTCCCAGCCCCTTGCAATTGTGTCTCTTCCAATCCAAGGAATTGAGAAGGCAATGTGCTATTTCTAGGCACTCTCGCTCTCCTGTAGCCATGTACCAAGATGCAGAAAGCCTGGATCCGGAGTCACTGCCTGGAGGAGAGCTCCTTGACCTGCTTCATACTTCAGGTGAATACAAAATAAATCTGAATATGTGAAGCCACTGAGATCTGAAGCTTGTTTAATATTGCATCAGGATCTACCCTATCATGACCAATAGGTACCCTATCATCTAAAAAAAGGACTAAGAGACTTCCAAGAGGGGAAGGAGGGGCACTTCAATGTTTTTTTTTAAGGAACTTGCTTTTTGGCAATCTTAATATTCTTTACTTTGTAATACTACCTCATATTACAAGTAAATTGACTTTTCAAACTCTCCATGCTTCTTCCACCTTTTATATTTAACCTAAAAATAATAATTATATTATACTTATATTTAATATACAGATTAATACTGGGGCTTTCACTGGGTCTATGTTACACAGTCATATCTCACCCACAGCACCCAAGGTAGCCTCTGATCAGATAGGTTCCAGAACAAGGAAGGGGTAGTGGGAGCAGCCTAAATCAACTCTTCACTTGTTTCCAGCTTAGGGTAACATGGGGTAGTTAAATAGAAGTATGAATGTCACCTAGTTTAAACTGAACTTACCCTCATGAAATGAACAGGGGTTTTATATGTTTTTACTGCCTGGCTGGGATGGTTCAGTGATTTCATGTTGACCTATGAACCAGAAGGTCATGATTCGATGCATGGTCAGGTTCATGCTTGGATTGTGGGCTCGATCCCTAGTCCAGGGTGTGCAGGAGGCAGCCAATCAATGGTTGTCTCTCATCAGTGATGTCTTTATCTCTCCCTCCCTCCCGCCCCCTCTGAAATCAATAAAATATATATTTTAAATGTTTTTACTAGGAGTCAAATGGTTCTTTATGTCATTAAAATTGACCTCAATATACTATTTATTTTACTTTGCCTTTTCCACACTTTAATTTTTGCGGCTGTCATAGAAGACAATATACTAACATAGTAGCACATAATGCAATTTAAAAATTAATATACATGTGTAAGTGGGAAATCTATGCTCAAAAACACTTAATGGTCAAAGCATAAAATAAAAGTAATTTTAGAATTGACAGTTTAGATAACAGCTTTCAATTTTGTCACTACATGCATTATTCCTAAGCTTCTGTAACCATTTCCCAAAACAACTAAAAAAGGAAGAAACCCAATATTGGACTGGGGAAACACTCATAGCTGTAACAGGTTCACAGGATTTGCATGAACTAGCAAAGTCAGAAAGAAAAAAACACACATAAATAACAGTGAAGAGCATTAATTTGAGTTAGGAGTAAAGGACAAGGCTTTCTGTTCCAACTGAAAATCACATTTGCACATCTAAAAACTAGCAACCTTCAGATAACCAAAGGGATAAGATGATTGCTTTCCACACTCAGAACAAACAGCAGATCCTCCGACAGATGAGAAAAGCTATGGGTACTTGGACTCCTCAGGCTGGAAGCCAGGGAGACCGACAGACAGGAGGGTCCACAAATGACTCGAAGAAAGGCAGAGCACTACATTAGGCCAACATAAAGGTCACTTACCAGAGAAGCATGAGTTTAGCCAAATTTAAATTATCGCAAATATCTGGAAACGTTTTTAGCCAAATGGCATAGCACCATCTATTCCACATCTCTTAGCACTTATCTCACTACCAACAAAAGATGAGGCCAGGATTTAAACCCAGGAATATCTGACTCCAAAGCCCTTATGAAAATAGCATCATATAAATGAGCCTCACAGAACAGGTAGGATGTGAAAATCAAGACTGACGTGGGTTACAAGGGAAGCGGCAGGGAGAGGAAGTGCTGTGACATCCTCTAACAGAAGATAATGGAAAGAGCAAAGGTATGGAGGTGGGAAACCCTGAATATTGACAGGTAGTACCACATGGTGGTTCTGGTAGCCTAGGAGATGTGGAGGGAGGTGGTAGGAGATAATGCTGGGAAGGCTAGTCAGGCTTTCCAGTGGAGGCTCAGCCACAGAAGCAGACTTCATTCTGGAGGCGATGAGTAATGACTGAGGCTTTAAAGCAGGGGAATCGCATAAACGCAGGTAGATGCTGGGAAGACTAATCTTGCTATGACAAGGAAGACGGATCAAAGAAAAGTATGAAGGTGCCTTGCACATAGTATGTGGTTAATATTGAACGGATGAGGCAAAAATGTGTTGTGTTTCTCTAACATATCAAGCCCATTCTACCCAACACCACTTAATATTGTTCAATTCGATACTTAGAAAAATAAACTACACTCATTCTAGGAAGAAATAATGCTGTTGATACTTCAAAAAAAATCAATTCACTGGTCAGATGTGGTCCTCTGAATGTTGCTATTAAAATGTCTACTCTTGACCGGCCAGTGTTGCTCAGTGGTCAAGCATCAACCCATGAACCAGGAGATCAGAGTTTGATTCCCAGTCAGGGCACATGCCTGGGTGGCAAGCTCGATCCCCAGGGGGGAGCATGCAGGAGGCAGCCAATCAATGATTCTCACTCAGCATTGATGTTTCTGTCTCATCTTCCCCCTTCCTCTCTGAAATCAATAAAAATATATTTAAAATGTCCTCTCTTGCAAAAATTAACACTTTCCTCTTCTACTCAAAAGAAATATATCTTGAGTTGCTGTTTAATTGCTGGAAAAGGAAACAAAATTAACCAAGTCTCAAAGTTAGGCAATGACAAGTGATCCTCCCTCTTCCACAACAGTGTGAAAATGTCATTGGAAAATAAGGAGGTCACAAACTGTAATCTCATATTTCCTATGCCCTTTTGTAGCCTCCAAGCCAAACACATGCTAAAGAGGAGCTTGTTTGATAATGCCGAACTTTCTTCTACACGGGACATGGTACCATTTGCAAAGCAAAACACTGAGATGAGCCATAACCTACCTGATTTTCTTCATGGGAAACCCTCATCTGCTCCTTGAGGACAGACATCCGGGCTGCTTCTTCTTTCCTCAAGACTCTCTCCTTCTTGAGCTCAGGACTCCAGAAGGTCTTGATACTGTTCATGGAAGACCCCAACTTGCTGTCCTTGATGTCCAGCTCCTTCCGAAGGAGTTCATTCTCTCTCTGCAGTTCCTTGAGCTGGGCCTGAAAGTCTAACATTGTGCTATCCCTTACCTGCCTCAACATGGAGGGGACCTGGTGGTGGTGGTGATGGGATGAGCTGGTCAGACCTACATGTTGATCTGTGTAAGAAAGGACATCTGTGTGGGAAAGTCCAGCAGAAGCAATATTGGGACTACTCCCCATGGCTGTGACGCGACCTCCATACACAGCTCTATTTGTGGCCCTTCCCAGAGTCATGGTGCCCTTTGGGTAAGTTGTCGAAGCCACTCCCTCATGATCACTCAGGTACATGGGTCCAGACGTAGCATAGGCTGCATTAAGGGACTGAATATTCTCCATGGACAGAGTCTTTCCTGCTCCTCCACCTCCCCCACTACTTGTTCTTCGGTGGCCCAAACGAGGAGACCTTGGCAAACGAGGAGATCTGGAAGGGCTTCCTTCCAGATTGGTGATTGTTCTTGCACTTCCATACATTTTTCTTCTATTATGAGGTGCAACTGAAGAGAAGAAATGCTATACTAAGTTGAGGATAAAGCCAAAATTTTCACTGTTGGCCAGAATTTTCACTGCATCCCACTCATAGTCTGTACCAGAAAATTACTCCAATCAGAGATCTGAAAAAATGAGAAAAAGGATCATCAAAAACAAACTTCTTTAGAACTCTCACTATAATTTCATTAAGTGTTTAAATATATAGACAACCAAGATGTCCTCCAGTAGGTGAATACATAAATAAACTGTGGTACATTCAGATAATGGAATATTATTCAATGCTATAGAGAAATGAGCTAACAAATCATGAAAAGACATGGAGGAAACTTAAATTACTAAGTGAAAGAAGGCAATGTGAAAAGGCTACAAAATGTATGATTCCACCTAAAAGACATCCTGGAAAAGGAAAAACTATGGACACAGTAAAAGCCTCAGTAGTTGCTAGGGGTTAGGAGCAGTGGTTGCTGGGAGAGGGATGAATAGGTGGAACATGGAGGATTTCTAAGGCAGTGAAACTACTCCGTTTGATACCATCATGGTGGATACATTTCTTTATACATTTGTCTAAACCTATAGAATGTACAACACCAAGAGTGAGCCCTAACGTAAAATATGGGATTTGGATGGTTATGATGTATCAATGTAGGTTCACTGTTTGTAATAAATGTACCACTCAGGCAGGATTGAAAACCGGGGAGACTGTGTATATGGAAGCAAGAGCTCAGTGGGAAATCTGTTCTATTTTGCTGTGAACCTTAAACCACTCTAAAAAAAATAAAGTCTATTAAGGTAAATAATAGATGTATATCAATGGTGCTAATGACAGATGAACAAGAGGTAGGTAGGTAGGTAGATGATAGATAGATAGATAGATAGATAGATAGATAGATAGATAGATAGATAGACCGACCTATGTTCATTTAAAAAAAAAAAAAAGAGAGAGACCCCAAAATTTTACTTACTACTATCTAAACATTTTGTAAATTCTCCCCACCCTGCTCCCAAGCAAGGTCAAAATTTCTCAGTGCCAAAAAACACTAATTGTTCCTTAGGAAAATGAAGCTCTGTATTAAGTGACAGTTGGAACCTCCAGAAAATTGATCAGAGGATGTCTCATCACAGAAACCTCAGTTATAAAATACCCTGTCCTGGAAGCATGACCCCTAGACACAAATGGCTTGACAGTGACTCTGAGAAGCTGTTGCTACCTAAGATGTCAAATAATAGTCAACCATGCTGTTACCTCCACTCTTGTACCCCCTACAGAAACCACTAATCCATCACAGTCCTCTTTTCCATTAGGTGCAGAACTCTTCTCAACACAGCACTCCAGATGGTTTACCATCAATCAACTGGCATCGATATGTGATGTAGAACCTATAGGCCAATCAACTGGCATCGATATGTGATGTAGAACCTATAGGCCATCTTGGAAAAAGAAGTTGCTCAACTAGTATAGGTGGCTCCTTACATATAGCCAGATCCTAAGTGCTATCATCAGAGATGACAGTCCAGTCTCTTTCCCCTTTCCCATACATCCCTCAGACTGGCCTCTGGGGACTTTGGGGACTTCTTTTGCATTTCTGCTGACCTAAATATCCATATTAACCATTCCACACCTGTACAGAAGGGGCACAGAACAGTGCACCATGTTAGAGTCCCTAGTTCCATAACCCTAGAGAAAAGTAGTAAAAGCTCCGTGTCACCATTACTGAAGTACTTTGGTACGGATTTTATGCAGCCAGGGCTACATACTGATTATCCAGTCAGTGCTGGTATTCACGTGGCCTTAACAGGATGCATCGCGGCCTCCGGCTCTTTCTCTTAGGGTGTGGTTGGTGTACTCTCTTTTTCTTCAGCTTGAAAGGGCCTGGAAAGGGCCAAAGTGAGGTTCAACTCTCCATTCTAACAACTGACTAGCTGAGTGACCTTAGACCAATTATTTAACTCTTATGAGCTTCCTTTCTCCGATCAATAAAATATTGGTAATTTCATCTAACTCATAGTATCCTAAGAAAAAGATGATGTTTATAAACCACCTAGTTTGGTGCCTAGCAATAATTTCTGTTGGTAGTGTCAATAAATACATTAATAGTATTATATAGGACACCTTTCATTTTTACCTGCTTATCACTCATTTCTCTTCCCCCACACACACACACTTTCTGGTAACACTATCTCTATTTTCCTTAGAGAACTTGTCCCAACCTTCTACTCACAATCATTAGGTTGTTTAAGGCTGATTCTCTCTACTCCACCCTGGATAGGGTTGGAGAGAGTATATGAACCAGGCCTGGCCAATCATCATAGTCCACCCCTCAAACATGGCAGCTGGTTTAGGATGTATGTATATGTGGCCCACTTTGATCTAAAAGACTCCCTGCCATCATTTTAGATGGAACAACTAGGAAAAATAAGCTCTTTTTCAGCTGGAATTACTTGCTTTGAAGATGGAACTTCTGAGTACCACCATGTAAAAATGGCTTCCCTGAGACTGAAGCTATTGCAAAAAACCTCAGAACCAAATTTTTAATAGTGTGAAATCAGACCAGGTGACATCACTTGAAATCCTGGGTCCAGCAGTCACTGAAACTATATCCATCCCTCGGCCATTTTAGTTACACATGCCAGGCAGACTGGCTACATTAATGGCCCCAATCCCTGTATCCGCCCCTCGGCAATGCCTTCACAATCTGTCCCTGGGTTCTGTTGCATGGCTTGTTTTGGCCAATGAGATAATGAACGTGAAGCAAGTGGAGGCCTGAAATAGCACTTGTGTATTTACTCGCTTGCTCATTTTCTTCTGCCATAGGAGTGAGAGCATGCCCAGTCTAGCCTGCTGGGAAATAAAAACTTAAAGCAGGGTCAGTGTGTCCTAGCCAACAGCCAGCCCCAAGACACCTGAGCAAGCCCAGCTAAGATCAGCAGAGGTGCCTAGCCAACCAGCAACTGACAACAGATGCAGGACAAGTCCAGCTAATTGCCACTGAACTCCATACACTCGTGGACTAAACAAACGCTTCTTAGTATGTCACTGATGTTCTGTGGTTGGCTGTTTTGCAACATTACTGGTTCAACAGGTATCTGACATATTCACCCATAAAATTTCTACATTCAATTCTAGTTGGGGTATTTGTCACTTGTACCTGAAAAAGTCCTTATGTATTGTATGAAGAAATATTTTCCAAAAATGCTTCTGCTTTCCCTAAAAATTCCCTACAAAGAATTATATGCCTGTCTCTAACTAAAGAACTTAGTTTCAAATGTTTACTAGTACATTGCTCAGAGCTTAATTATGTTTTACTTGATAATAAACAAAAAAAATCATTTTCTATCTAAGATTTTTGCAGAAATAACCTGTTGTGTTTTTTTAAAGGGTATGTCAATAGTTCTAACCATTGGAATTCAGTTTACATAAATGATGAGAGACAGACAGTGAAATAATGTGATCTTTACATGAATATTTAATGAGATGAAAAGATGTTCATGCCTAATGGGGTTGGGGGATGGGAGCAAAGAACAGACTGCAAAACATTTCTATGGTTTACTTACTCAAACCTTTGTAAGACACATGTACACACACTAACTAGCAGAAGATTAAAAACGACACACATCAAAATGTTAACAGTGGTGGGAATCCAAGGGATTTTTTTTTCCTTTTGTTTACTTGCCTTAAATTTTCTATCTATATGTATAAAAGGTAAGCGACTGAGCAACTGAACGACAGGTCCACTGAACCGTTGACCGATTGCTATAACGCACACTGACCATCAAGTAGCATACACCCAACACAGGAGCTGCTCCATGGTGATCAGTATGCTCCTACAGCTAACCTCCTGCAGTCCCTCCCCAAAGCTGGCTGGCCCCAATGCCCCAAATTGGGTGGCTAGCCAATCTCCTATGGCCTTCCCATGGCCCCTCCCCTTGGCCAGACAACCTCCCTCCACCCCTCCCCTCAGCCAGCCAATCTCCTGCTGGCCAACCTCCCACGGCCCCTCCCCTCAGTCAACCTCCTATAGCCCTGATCCCTGGCCAGCCAAGGAACCCCACCTATGCACAGATTCGTGCACTGGGCCTCTAGTACTATATAAAGATTTTTCTATTGTCTTTTCATTCTCTATTTCATATATTTCTGCTCTGAACTTTATTTTCTTTCTTTAGTAACTTTGGGCTTCATTTGTTCTTCTTTCCATTGTTCAAAAATAATCAACAGTAAGGTTTTTTTTTGGTTGTTATTGTTGTTACACAGCAAAGAACTGAAATAGTCATTTAATGTTTCATTGAAAGATTATCTAATCATTTTTTACCAATCACCTATTATAAGACACAGGTTATTTTTAATGGAAATATTATAATTAATATTCTGATTGATAAAACTCCATAGACATCTCTTATTACTTCCCTAGGATAAAGTTATAGAGGTAGAATTATAAGATGGAAATTTAAAGGTTCTTCATACCCACTATCAAAATTCCCTCCAGAAATGTTGAAATAATTTACACTCACACCCTTACCATTGGCTATTTTTCCTCCACTGCCTTTACTTGTTACTCTCAACAGATCTTGGAAGCCACTAGAGGCAACTAAAAATCCCTAAAACACCCAAATAAGGATCACAGCTCTACATGTTTAGTAAATACACCTTAATGAGGAATGCCAATACTGTGCTAACCAACTCTGCTTTGGGCCAGTGCTTCTGCGACAGTGTGGCCAATGTTCAGATAAACAAGGCTAATGGGATTTTGTTTGTACACCAAGACTCCGAGGCACTGGTGTGTACTGTGACTATTCCAAAATTGAGTATACAATGTGGCTTTTTCCAAATTTATTTGAGAGAAGAACACTTTTCCCTTCAAAATACCTGAAAACTTTTCCTTAATCATTCAGACTTATTTATTTAATTAATATTATTTAAGCATCAACTTAAGTCCCAGTGTTGAATGTTGAGGATAAAGCAGTGGCTGAGACAGACACAGATCCTG